CGCGAAATAGATCTGAACAGATATATAAAACGACACCCAGAAAACAGCTAAAATGAGATAGAAGTATATATATATATATATATATATATATATATATATATATAATGAGAAAAATGGAAAATATTGACATATATAAGAACGTTTGAAAGCACCAGACTGTAAAAAATAACCATTTAGAAAGCAGAATGTATTAAGTAATTTGATATCTATCTATATATCTGAGATGAGGTATTATGTTTATTTACGTTATTTGCATTATTCGGACTGTTATCCCCATCTTCATTGCCATATTCACAACGTTTCGACTGTTGTTGTACGCTCGGGGCTAATACAAAATTTAAGGAATCAGCACATATGCTAGCCACAAAAATGTCCTGAGCCGACCAAGCATAGAAATGAGTACAAAATGTCAGTCAGTTATGTGCCGTGCAGGATACACGCTTAAGGCGATCATGTATCTTTCGATACATGATTGACGAGGCAGATTTTTTTTTTCGCAGTAGGTTGCCATTTCTTTTTGCGATAGACCAGTTGCCATCCAAGGCTATAGAACCCAGCCTGTCCTGCTATTTACCCATAGCTGGGGGAGAAGAAGAGGTTTCATACCTTTCCTAACGGTATTCGAACGTAAGCGAATGTAATGGATTCCTCAACGTGCCTCCTAAAATATGGAAATCAGTAATAAGAAGTGCAAGAGAAAATCAGTGAATAACAAAAACTTTCAATACAAACTCTGGTAAAAAATATGCAATAATAATAACAGAAAAATTGCAATATGAGCACTGGTAAAAATTTCTGAGACATTAGGTTTATAAGACCCAGAAATTCATACACACATGTCCACGAGGACACAGAGCCCAGTTGGTTAGATCCAGTGAATGTGAGTTTAATATCAGGCTACATCAGTGGTGAACCAAAACTTGGAGAATTGACTTAAAGGGAAATAATCGAGACATCCGGAAGAGGCATGGCACATGGAACTAGACCAGTCTACCCCGGTGGATGAAATAAAGGGTTCTATCCGAAATTCCAATCACCTGAAGAAGTGTACAGTGGCCGAAACGTAAATAAGACAATGAAGGTGAGGATAACAGTCCGAATAATTTAAATAATTTAAGTAATCTGGCTTATGTGTTATGGATGGCTAGATCAAAGGTATTTCTAATATTCCATAGTATAATGTGATTAAAAGAATTACGTGACCTAATTAATACTTCTACATTTTTATTGCATTTTCTTTTTGTTACTCATCACAATCCCAATCGTTAAATGGTGTCATAGTCTATTTAAATATCACGCGAGTTAGCGCCCCACCTCTTTCCTATAAATAGTCACTTGGGCAGTGATTCTAGCAATTTTATACTTGACATAAGTGAAACTTGGATTCACTTCTAGCCTCTCTTGAGTTACCAAGACTTACGATAGGTGGGTTTCTCGATGTTTCTCTCTGCCTCTCCTGTTTCGAATATATACTGTGAGTGTGAAATTCTCCAAGCCGGTTTTCCTCATTATGTGCCGCAGACATTTCAGCTGTTTCTTTGTGTCCGTGTACAAATTTTTTTTTTTCTTTCCGTTTTCATTTTCATACACACTTTTTCGATGCTCATATAATCCGTCCGTTATATTCCCGACACCCTTGTGTAGAACTACACTTCTGTTGTTTCAGTTCTCCTCCTCAGGCATGAAGGGATTGTCCAATATTCATTAACACATTGTGGATTTACATGATCAACTACGTACACGTCATTTTGGGGATGTGGATTTGACGAGGAGAAATTTTATATAAAATGACTAGTATTCGTGCAGAAAGATCATGTTCGTGCTTTCGATACCCAAGTCTTTCGAAATGGTCAGACTATTTGAAATAAGGATATATGTCTTCTATAATTTTGCTTTTTCTCTCAAATTCGAAAAAAATTCTGTGCTCTCGACCATAGAACAATGTGTTGTTTTACTACTTAATTTAAATATACGTATATATCATATAAGTGACATCATGTGTCATTAGAATATATATATATATAAATCATACTTATTATAAAACCCAGGTCGTGTGTGTGTGTGTGTGTGTGTGTGTGTGTGTGTGTGTGTGTGTGTTTCGTTTATATATTGGATCGGATTTCCTGCAATTTTCAACCGATTTCAACAAAACTTCACAGGACTACGTAAAATTTGCGTTTCTGACAGCGCCAAAATTGAAAAGCACAAATTGTTTTCGCACGAAATCAATTTGAAAATACGATTAAGAGGCATCGCTGTCGAGAATGAAAGGGGACAACTCATATCGAGTTATACTTTTTTATAAAAACCCAGGTTATTTGTGAGTGTGTGTCTGTGTTCGTTTATATATGGGATCAGATTTCCTACATTTTTCAAACCGATTTCCACAAAACTTCACTTTTTTTGGCAGGTGTGTTTCTTATTGTCTTGCACACTTTTTTCTTTATTTTTACATTAAGAATGCTTTAAAATTCCATTTACAAGACAATTGTTTATAATAAAATTCTATTCGATCGGTAGACTCATAACGATTGAAAAATAATGTTTTTGTTTGAGTTTGGGTTTGACCAATTCAAAAAAAAAAAAAAAAAAACAACTAAAAAAAACAAACAAAACCAACTAATTAAAACATGCGTGTCCGTCAACCTTAAACAATAATCTTTGTCAATTTTATTTTCAGTCTTTATGATGGTCGATACTTGATCTATCTCTTATTGTTACATCCCCGGGCAACGCCGGGCTCTACTGCTAGTGGTTAATATTATACTACTACTAATACTCGGTTTGAAAAAAAAACCTCGGATATCACAACTTGTAAGACTATGAAAACAAATTGGTACCCGAGGAAAAAAAATGTAAAAAAAAGAAAGAACTAGAAACACCCGAACAAGGCGAAATAAATCGTCCAGTGACTTAAGTTTTTAGTTCAAAGAAAAAACAAACAAGCGAGTAATAAATCTAAAACATAAAGTGCTCAGTACGCTAAATAGAGCAGAAATAAGCGAAATAAACCTTAAAGACCCAAGAACAACCTACCTAGGTTTCACCTAAATGGATCTCCAGTGTAAGCTCACCCTGAAGATCCTGAAGATACTAGGTAGGTTGTTCCTGGCTCTTTAGGACTTATTTCATTTATAAATAGTTAATATATGGACGTCCTCGACGATAGAGTTCCGTTCCTACGATGGATCGTAACGCGATTATCTCTGTAAGACCATATATACTCGCGATTTTCCGTGAATAAGCACTTACATCACTCACCTATGATAATGCAATAGTAAAGTAATAATCTAGGACATAACAACACATTTCTACGACATATCTTAACATAATTAGGACTAAAAGCTCTTGGAGTAATACATATAATGAAATGAAATAAAAATAATACATATACTGAAATGAATTTTGTTTTAAGCTGCTTGCATATTTATTGCCAGTGATGTCATTGACTTACGGTAGATGAGATGACGAAGCGTAAAATCTAGTCTCTTTTGCAGTACCCGGAAGCAGTAGCAAATCTGGAGAAAAAAAAAAAGAAAAAAAAAACTTGAATTGATTTTTCTGTTTTATCGGGAATTCACCAGCTTATTGTTTACCAAGAAAATCTTTAGTGAAGCTCTTAACGACACACACCTCGAGGACCATAGATATTTTGAAGGCATATGACAAGGTGTGGCACAATTATAAAATCCTTCCTAACGGGTAGGTTCTTGAAGGTAGTTATTAACGGCCAGTCCTTCGGGGCCCTGGCGTTCAATGCAGGCGTCTTCGAGGGGTCACTTCTCGGACTATCTTTTTACTTTATATAAATGATCTGCCTAAGAATAGACTCAGATCATTTGTGAACATCTTAGCCGATGATACGAAGATATACGAGTGCACTTCTAAAACTTTTGATTATCAAAGATTGGCAGCTGATTTCTCATTCGATTGAACACTGGGGAAAAAAATAGCTGGTTACATGCAATGCCTCGAAAACCAAACTTGTTACATTCCATCATCGCTGGTCGGACCCTGAACTACAGTCAGTCTTGATGAATAGGATGCCGCCTCGGTGAGGCTCCGTACCTTGAGTACCTATTGAGTCTTAAACTCATACCAGACCTCAAGAGGGACGCGTACATACGATCCATCGCTAAAGATGTAGGAAAGAAAATGGTCGCCTAATGTACCGCCTCATTAAGTACCTGACATCGCATGCTATTCACAACCTTTGCAGGATCCAAATCAGGCCTAAAATGAAGTTATATTTGGAAAGGGGCTGACCAGTACTTACTCTCTTGTCTCGATAGAGTCTAAAAATGAAGTTATATTTGGAAAGGACTCTCTTGTCTCATAGACTGAAGTTATATATGGAAAGGGGCTGCCGTGTACTTACTCTTGTCTCGATAGAGTCCAAAATGAAAATGAAGTTATATTTGGAAAGGGCTGCCATGTACTCACTCTCTTGAATCGATAGAGTCCAAAAATAAAGTTATATATCCAAAAATGGATATATTTGGGGCCGCTGCCACTACTCACACTCTTGTCTCGATAGTCCAAAAATGATAGAGTCCAAAATGAAGTCTAAAAATGGAGTTATATTTGGAAAGGGGCTGCCATGTACTCACTCTCTTGTCTCGATAGTGTCCAAAATGAATTTATATTTGAAAAGGGCTGCCATGTACTCCTCATAGTGTCTGGAAATATGGGGGGCTTGTCTCGATAGAGTCCAAAATGAAGTTATATTTGGAAAGAGGCTTGCCAAGTACTCACTCTCTTGTCTCGATAGAGTCCAAAAAATGAAGTTATATATGGAAAGGGGCTGCCATGTAATCTCTCTCTTGTCTCCGATAGAGTCCAAAAAAATGAAGTTATCCTCTCTTGTCTCGATGGAAAATGAAGGGGCTGCCATGTACTCACTTACTTGTCTCGATAGAGTCCAAAAAAAATGAAGTTATATATGGAAAGGGGCTGCCATGTACTCACTCTCTTGTCTCGATAGAGTCCAAATTGAAATG